AGCTATAGTTTTTATGCGGGGATTATTTTTTTTTTTTTTTTTTTTTTTTTTTTTTTTTTTAATAATAAAGAAAAAACTATATACATAAAGAATTATAACCTACGACAGTCTCGCTGTCATTCAATTTTAAGCTATATAAAAAAATGAATAATTACCTTAAAATTATCTTTAAAAAAAAAGGGAGGCATATAAAATTTATTGGTTCTCATAACTCGGTTGGTCAGATTTTACTAAACTCCAAAAAAAAATTTTAACTAAAAATAAAATAAAAGTCGGATCTATTTTTTATAGAACCAATTTACAAATTTTATATGCCCTAATGATGTCTTTCGCAAAATATAAAAGTATTATACATTGTCAATTATAAAATGAGAAAACTAGGCATCAATACCACGTTATATCTCATATTTGTGAATGATATGATATCAGCTATCTAAACTAATGCAGATAAATGAAAGATATAGGAACCGAAACATGATTAAGACTAAAGAAGATTAGAACTATTTTTCCTCTAATTTGATTAAAACAGCTTCTACATCTTCTTCAGGTACAACCGGACCTTTTCCAGAACATTTTGCTTTAGATTTAAGTTCAGCACATAATTGATCGATTTCGTCACCTTCAAGGTCATCAAATTTCGGATGTTGTTGAATTCTTTCCCATACTTTATTACATGACAAAAACTTTTTACTTCGAATGTCTTCCAAAGAAGCAAATTCGTGCTTACTCAAACTTGAGAAATGAGGATTTTTATTTTCATCAGTTGGAGTAGCCATTGGAGCAAAACTGCCAAAATCTTGAAAACTATCTTCAAAGAGAGGCGGTAATGGAGCGGACTCAGAAAAAGGATTGTCTATGTTTGGTGTGAAAGGAGTTGGATCTCGATACTCCGTGAACGCAGATGATAACTTGTTTAAATCGGTAGCACCGTTCGAGGAACCTGTCATATCAAAGGATGTATTATTGTCTTGACACATACCATCGGTGAATTTTTCACAGAATTCTTCTGCACTCTGAGGTTTAGTTGAATGAGAAGATGAAGAAGAAGCGGAACCAGATGATTTAGACGGTAAATTCGGCTGATCGAGTTTAGATGATGGTGCTTGAGACGAAATGTCAGGTGATGAAACAGTCACATTAACATTTTTATCTGAAACAGAATTAGGAGAACCTGGTTCATCATCACTTGTACTTGAAGATGGAGGTGTATAAGGTTCACTAGTATTAGAAGCAGGAATAGGAGGTGGGGATATAGACTTTGCCCCCACTAGATCATTGATATCCTTATCAAGAATAGAAGTAGTATCATTCGTTTTTGGCAAAGGAAAATCGAAAGTAAAACTTGTTTGTTTCAATAAATAATTTTCAGCTTGTAATTGTTCAACAAGAGACTTTAATTGTTGATTTTCTTGAGCACTTTTTGCAGACATAGATTCGAGCTCTTCAATTTTAGTCTCAAGTTCTTTTACATAACGTTCCTTACGTTCTCTGAATGCACGCTGAGCAGCTCGATTTTGAGCTTTACGTTTCTGATAAATAAAAATAGGTGAATTTTAAATTTTAATACTAAAATTAATATAATGAAATATACATACATTGCTAGGCGTATTTGTTAAGGGCTTTCTACCTGGCTTTTTTTTCTGTGGTTCATTAGATAGCTCTAGTGAATTATCCGGCGGAGACGGAGAACCTTCCGCTGTTTTTTTTAAATAATGTATATAAGATTATCATTTCAGAATAAAATCTAAATGATACTTTTGTTTAGAATAGTTACTTACATTCAGCATCAAGATCTGGATGTGGAACGGAAGTAATATTTAATTTATCTAGAAAAAAAAAAAAAAAAAAGAAGAAAAAAAAGAAGATAATTATAAATTTTTATTAAAAAAATAAAATGAAAAAAAGTCAAACAAATATTAATAAATGAGAAATAATAAAATCAATCATGATACTTACGACTAGCTTTAGAAGGAGTTTGTTGAGCAGCGTCTTCTAGCATTTCCAATTTTCGTTTCTGGTCCTCGTCGAATCTGTACTGATCGTTGTGTGCTATAGCAGCTGCTAAAAGTTTCTGAGCTTCAACATTATCCTCAAGAGAAGCAAAATCCCAAGGAAAATTAGAATCACTCATCGAAAAAACAGCATTAGAAAAAAAAGGATCCATAGTCAAGAGAATTTTTATCAAAAGCAGTAAATTGGGAAAATCGAAAAATGACGTTAAGCAACTATCTATTTAAATATACAAATATTAGACGACAGCCCATTGGCTAATTAACAAAGTATACGTCATAGTTATTCTGATAGGTCGGTGATGCCAGCCAAAAATTTAAATTTTATACATAACAGATAATAATATATATACGTATAAATAATATAAATAAAATTTCAAACACCAATTTTTGCTTTAGGGAATTCAAATGTAAATTGTAATATATATAAAATATATATATAAAGATATATATACTTTAAGTTGTTATTCCATAGAATGTAATACCGATATCTCTATACAAAACACAGCTTAAATTAGGGGAAAATTACTGGTAAACAAAAAACCACCACACCCAGAATGAATGTGCTTTTTGTAGCTCATGGATACAGATTTAGATAAAACTACCGTCAAATCAGATATTTAAACCCTTTTATTGGTAAGCTCAAAATTAATATTTCTACATAAAATGGCACTTTTGTACTAATTGCTTCCCGATAAAATTTGCGTAAAGCATCAATGCGTGAATCTTGAGGAACGTAAGTAAGTACGTACTGTACATGCCAAAACACGCATACACGCTTCTTGGTTGCATCGGATGTAATATTATTTTCAAAGTTTCACCATGGTTATCTGATAATGATAATAATTCCGGAAAACCAATCGGTCGGTCCTTATTTTAATGGTTTCCAACTTTTGGTTTAGTTTGCTTTTTAAAAAAAGAAAAGAAGGTATTTGTATTACAATAGATTATCACCTTTATATCTTAAAATATATATATACATATCATACCAATAGTTACTGTATTTTCAGATTTTTTTTTTTTTTTTTTTTTTTCTGAAAAAAAAAAAAAATCTAGTAAAACCTTTTTAAACAGTTATTTTTCCTTACCTGTAGTATATTCAACAATATCCAAAATTAGAAGTGTTACATAAGTACGTAAAGAAGACAATAAATACAGTATTCCACAGCACTATAATACGTATAACCATTACAATATATATTTTCAGAATTTTTTTTTTAAAAAAACGATAAACCTTTTTAGACTTATTTTTCTCTACTTGTAGTATATTCAAAAATATACAAAATTAGAAGTGTTACGTAAGTATATACGTACGTACGTACGTGAAGAGATAAGTATTCCACAGCACTATAATATCACCATTAAAAATTGCAAATACAGTATATAATTTTAAATGATGTAAATGAGTATCTAAATTTATTTTGTTTAATCAGCTCCTAGTACTGTGGTAGGAGGGAACTTAATTTAAGACCTGGATAATGGTTTTTGCAAGCAATTATTACAAGTAATTAAAGTGATTAGCAAAATATACTCGATTTTAAGAAGGACATAATAAAAATTATAATTAAAATTTGTGATTAATGTCTATCAACATAGTAGTAATATCGATATCAGAAGTTACTGGACTTGTTATTACCATGTGCAGTGGCGCAGTATTGACTGCGCGATTAAGATCTCCATCCATACATATATGGTACAATATCAACTGCATTTAAATAGTATATAGTACTGTAGTATGAAAACTAGTGAAACATAATAAAATTTATTATCACATGATATATATTAAAATTGAATGGTTACATTAATCACCTTGATCTGCTATTGTCTCATTGATAAAAACTTTAATTGCTTCTACAAATCCTTTATGAGAATAAACATCTTCATGTAATGCGTTCTCAAATTCTACCCAGACCTTCTTTTTACTCATTTTGGCTTTTTTATATAATTCTATCATTTGTTCTTGTGGTACTATCTCATCATTTCGCGATGACAAGAATAAAATGGGTATTTTGATCCCTTGAATCACATGATAATTATCCCATTTGTTGCGGATTAAGAGTGGAATATTTACTAAATATTTATAAGGAAGCCATTTCTGTGGATATATTGTGGTAACCATATCTTTGATGGATGTAAACGCATTTTCGATTATAATTCCTTTCAATTCTTTCTGGATCTTTTCATTTGATGCTAGATATAGTGCAACTGCTCCTCCTAATGAATGTCCATAAATATATATTGGATTCTTTGGATAAAGTACGCGAACAAACTCATAAATTGACAAAGCATCAATTTGAAGTCCTTTTTCGGAAGGCGATCCTGTTGAGAACCAGTAACCTCTATAACCTATTGCAACTATTTGTAACTTTTTGACTATATTTGTTGAGTATAATATCAATTTGGCAAATACTGGTATACGGAATAACATATTTCCTGCATTACTATCCATAAGAAAAAAATTGTTATATATAGTTAGTTTAAACCAAATAATAGTAATAATATAGAAACTGCGTTTTTACCCTTGAAAGTAAATTATTATTGGTTCACGATCATCAAACAAAACATCCGTAATATTATCATCACCATTTATGGCTTTAACGATAATTCCAGCTAGCTCACATTTGTCACGAGTTTCAACTGCAACTTGTTTACACTCCAAACGTTTATCTATATGCATCTCTTCTAATGTAAGTTGACGAGTTCCCAAGGGAAAGAATGGCATGTATATCAGTTTATTTTGAAATAACACTAACATTGTACACTGGAAATAATTAATATTTTTTACTAAAATAATTAATAGTAAAAAAATCGATAAATCAAAAATTAATTTCAAACAACCTTATATAAATATACCGTAAATGGAACTCCGAAAAACACAAGCAACGCTGTCTTCCACGAAAATTGAGATATTTCTTCTTGGTTAGACCAAATGGTGAACTTGCGGCTATATAATGACACCATGTTTCTGTCATTTTGTTTATAACGATAAGAATTATGCAATAATTTGGACGCGTTATTGTTATGGATTAGTGATTTTTGTAAAAATACTGATCTTGATCGATAAATATAAGCATAAATTGGTGATATTCGACGAACATTCATCGTTCATATGACAGTACTGCAGTATGATATCGAGTAGTCCCTTTTATATCAGATATAACATCTAATCTGATCTTGAATCATCACATGACTTTAGCAAAAATTATAAATATCTAAATTGCGAGTTAGGTAATCATTATTCTCTAGCGATTCAACAATGCTGGATAATAATTTCTCGGAAAATCAGCTACGTAGCTATCTATCATCACTTCAAAATGAGATTAAATCTTCAAGCTGTTCGGTAGAAATAGTATCAGAATTTCTACGTGGACCATTGGATTTTTTTGAAAACAAAAACTGGAAAGGTCCTTTTCCAAATCGACAACTGCATAAATATTTTCTTACAAAACTCTATTCAAAGCATTTAAGTTTTATACTTGAAAATATTATAAGCAATTGGTTTGAGATTCTTACTAGATCACAACAGCAAATGCTAGTCACTGAGTACTTTGTTCCTTCAGGAGAAAAAAGTTTGCAGAAACAAACAAGAGCATGCATTTCTTTACAAGTCCTTGTAACTCATTTTTCTGTTTCTAGTCAACAAAATTCTCATCTTGAACAGCGACAGCAAATCTATTTGTTGATGATAATAAAAAAATTTTTAGTATCACTTTTTAATACCTATTCTATAAGCGATTTCTTTGATGCTATCTTGAGTAATGAAGATATAAATCTCAATGAAAGGTTTCCATACTGGAAAGAATTTGTGAGTCTTGTTTGTTCTATACCAGAAAGGACTGCAAATTTAATGGTTTTAAACCAAAATCAAGTTTACAATTCAAGATCACCAGAGGATGATGTTTTAAGTGATGTGTATCCTATTAGATAATTATAGATAATTATAATAAGTGATGATAGAATTAATAGATTCTTTAATTATCTTTAATATCATAAATGTTATTCTCGACTGAAAACCTTTTTTTCCGGATAGAAAGTTTTTCGGAAAACTTTCAGTTGTTAGTGAAAATTTAATATTCGATAGGTGCGAAAGAATTAAAGGCATGTTTTATGATTTTTGAAATTGATATTAAATCGTAACTATCAAGGAAAGTTTTTTTAACTGATTAATTATTGACATAAATGTTTAATAGAGGGCGCAATTGAAGTGTTTGTGTTTGCTTTTGGTGAACTATTCTCAAAGATTTGTAGGATCGGCCATTCAAGTGCGTTAATACTATCTATCGTAAATATCATTGGACACTTTTGCTTTTTCGTATCATGTACTAATTAAGTAACTTAAAATACTTTTTCTGGCAAATTAAAGAAATCCTTGTTCAAGCAATTTATCATTTTCTAGTGAGACGTCTTCATCCTTCTGTTAATAGAACCTATCAAGATATTTGGCATCGAGTGACTGCATCGTTTTCTCCACATATGCTAGAGTCATTTATTACCTCTTTATTACTCTATGCCCAAAATTGTGATCTTTCAAAAGTTTCTACTCCAGTTTCTATGGATGATCAATCTCGACATTTGATTCGTAAAATTGCTAAAATATTAATGTTGTTAACTGGAAATATAAACAATGAATCTATATTGTTTTTGATTAAATACAAATATTTTGTGGGCGGAAAATCATTTTCTGTACCTATTTTAAGAGTTTTATGCTGCTTTTTATGTTGGAGAGGGCTTCAAAAGGAGGCAAATGATGATGATAACCTAAATCTAAAGCCGTTAATAAATGATGGTTTGTAGAAGCTTTTATAAATGTATCTATTATTTGATCTGAATCCTTATCAATTTTATTTTGATTTAAACGATAGATCTTATTAATGTCCTCAAAACTCTCATATCGTCCTGGTCTGACCCAACATTCGTTAAACATGGATCCATTACTGATCAAAAATGTATGTTACGCTTTTTAAACTTGCATCTTTATCCAAACCTTAATAATTTATGTCATCATATGTTTAGATATAACAAGTGCAATTCTCATATTATTCGGTTATCTTCCCAAAGAAACTCTAATTGATGCAGGAATCACCAGAGAGATTGTCTCTGGTGTATCTCGGTGGTTACAGAATTCATCCGAAGAGTCGCGGAAATTAGGAATGGTGTGTAACCTTCTTATCTCGCGTATTTTAATGTGCATAAATCAGTGAATAAATAAATATTATGTCATAATGTAGATTACTGCAGAAACGCTTTCAAGATTAACTGATGAAACTGGCAACGTATTGGATTTTGAATTAAATTCTGAAGACGAGAATGTAAAATATTTAAGGCAATTAGTAGAAGTCAAAGATGGACTTTTGGATTTGCCAGATATTGAAAATGATGATATTGAAGGTTTGTAATTTTAAATTATTATACTTCTTTTTATTATATTTAATATCAAGTTCTAATACATACTTCAAATAGATCAAGAAAACACAGTATCAAAATCTGATCAAATTGTGGATTTTTCTGAGAAATATTATAATACTGAAATTCCCATCGATAGTATACCTTCATTAGGTAAAATCAAAAATAATAATAAATAAAATAAAATAAAATAATAATTTAATATATATTGATCCTTTCAACATTATAGAAAATATCAATTCTCAGCCTGTAGATTCTGATGATGATGACGAATTTGAACCATATCCGATGGAAGAAGAAAGTGAAAATGAGGAGGATGATAAGTGTGAACCACAAACAAAAAAGAAGAAAGTTCTTCCTCCAGTGTATGTAAAGGAACTTTATTATCCTTCCTCATTTTCCGATAGCTTCTTATTTTTTTTCATATCTTCAGATACATAATTGATCTGCTATCATATTTAAAATCTTCTGATGATCTCGATAAGATAGAAGTAGCGATTAATACTGCCGCGAAATTGATTAGAGATAAAACGGGTTTTGGAATGGAATTGGGTTTGTACATTATTAAAATATATATTCTTAGCCTTTGATATTGATTATGTTAACATTTATAAAATTTATTAAAGATGACCATGCGGATGAATTGGCAAGAATACTTATTAATTTACGGGATACTTTCGAACTTAAGAAATTTGATGAAAATAGACAAGCTGCATTGATTGCTCTTGTATGTGGAAGTCCCAGGATCACCGTACCGTACGTATATTATTTGGCAATACACACAATGGTCATGGTTTACAATTTTTTTACGTGCCAATCACTATTTAATATTATTTAATATTATTTAATATTATTTAATTAATTTAATTAATTTAATTTTATTTAATATAATTTAATTTTAGGTTTATCATTCAACAGTTTTTCGAAACGCGATACTCATTATCTGACAAACTCATGATCTTGTCTGCATTATCATCAGCTGCAAAGGAATTATCCGGAATACGGATAGAAGAGGTTTTAATAGGTTTAAATTTATTAAATTAATTTTGTGTAAGAATGACTAAGTTTTCTTACTTTTATAGATAAAGGATATACCTGCTAAAAAAGAGATTCCATCGATAGAGTTAACTACCCAATCAACAAGTGATCTTGGTTTAATATCTAAAAATACCTTAAACGGTCCAACTTCTGATAAAGTACGTTGGCTGTCACGAAGACCAAAAGTAGAATATGCACGTCTTAATTCAACAAAGAAGAACAGATTCAATGAATTAGCAGCAAAAACTTTTTTTTCCCCTTTATTAGCAGGATTTTGGATATGGTCCCGTAATCGGTTGGTATTATACACCGATTTATCCTGGTTTTCCCATAAATAATTAAATACATATCTTGTTCTAGCGATCAAGGTGAAATTTTATATGAGCCAGTATTAGTGCACAGATATGTGGTAACATTGGCGATTTTTGTTCAGTGTTCTAGTAAGTATTCTTTAGCTTCATATAAAAATATTAAAAATTTACTTTTTCAATATTTATTCTATTTTCTTTTTTATAAGTAAATACTGTCGATCTTATACAAATTGACAGAGAATATTGGGATTTATTATTATCTTTAAGATATAATGATGATCCAACTGTTTTATCAGCATTATTATTTGGTATCAATTCTATATTGAATTCATTATCTGAACGTGAATTGGCAGATGATTTTGGTAAAGAATTGGTTGAAACTCAACAATGGATTAATGGTAAGTTTTGATATTTTTAATTATTTATTCAATTTATTTAACTAGTTGTCGTTGATTATCACTATTTTGTAATTTAAAGCACTCTTAGAAAATCAGAATAATGAAAATATTCAGCCCATGGCAGTTTGGATACTGGCAAAAATCCAAGGGATTGTATCAAACTATCAAAGATTACTATTAGGCGATTTATTGCCATTAACATAATTTACTTAATAGATCAATTGATAGTCAGGAGATAATGCATGAATAATATACTACTAACAGGATATTAATTAATTAATTAATTTGATTTTTTAAATTTTTAATTTTGACCATCATTATCACGATTTTACTTTATTTAATTAGGATTAAGGTTAGAAAGAGATTCTAAGTAAACTTGTCTCACTGAGATAGGCCTCGTTTTTTATTATCGGGCTTATTCGTACTATCGACCCCCTTTTATGGCTAGATATATGAACGTGAATTGTAAAAATATTATCGGAAATTTACATGCATAACAGATAATTTGAAAACTTCCATCCAATAATAATACTGTAATACAACTTATCTAAATATATCCGGGATATCAAATTTTTTTTTCCCAAATCGATATCGATATAAATCTAAATACGGTAATGGCAATGAAAGTTACATGATTTGATATATTTTTTAGGGGAATTCTTTAGGAATTCTTACTTTATATAAACTGTACAATTTTGTCATTCTTCATAACCGTTCAATCCAAAAAATAAGAAAAAATTTAATAAAATTAAAATTAAAAATTAAATAATAAAAAGAATGGCGTTAAAGTATCCTAAATTTCATAGTTATGTTAATCATAGCTACATTGTTATTGCCTTCATACTTTGTACGGCTTTTCCTATAATTTACATAATTAAGCATAAACGTTCAGTACTATTTTATATGATAATTACTTTAGTAGTACTTATACTGTCTTATGCAATATATTGGGTAAATATCTTTTGGATAAAATGAAATTCAATCTCTTATTACTATTAATAATTATATTTGCAATTACATTTTTAGGCATTTGTCCGATTAAAATTTCATAGTAAACCACAAAGAACAAGACAAAGCATTCAATCAACGCAACAAAATGATTTAACATCAATACGGTCAACTGAAACATCGAATGAGCCGATTCAATCAACATCCACTAACTATCAACTTGCAAATTTGACAGAGAGATCAGATATATTTATTTCATCTCCTCCACCAACATATCGTAACGATTTACCACCACCATATTCAGCCGAAGGTATACCAGAAAATGGGACCGTCTAAAGCCAGGTTAGTGTTTCACCCCGGGTCGGGTCAACCCGGGTATCCGGGTTGTGATTATGATCACCCGGGTAGACTTGGACGGGTTGACCCGCGGGTTAACCCGTGGGTTACCCGTGGCGTGCAAACACTTGCAAAAATTGACCAAATTGATATTTAATTTGGGCGTGATTTAT